TCATGACACTTCCGAGATTTTGAACAGCTGTGAAATTAGTTATTAGAACAGTGTATAGCTCGATGAGCCGAGATGCTTTATCGATCGGTTTGAATGTGATATGGAGAACAATCAAACGCATTTGATGTATCGGTAATTGAATGATTGATTAGAGGCGAGTTACAATTTTTAAAAGATAGAAACGAGGAGAATGCGCAAAAGATTGCAAATTTGGGATGAGATCGGTTCATCAGCATCTTATTGATAGGATTTCGAATTTATTACACGACACTAGTCGCATCTTCTATTAGTTCTGGTCTATTGACTATGTAGAGAATGTTATTAATTCCATAACAGAAATTCTTCCAGGAATTTTTGAAGTTTCCTACAAAAAAATCACTTCAATTTAAGGAAATCTTACTTTTTGCGATCGAAGCAGAAGCCTTTCTCGTTCCTCTTCAAAAAGCAATTCTTAACACAAACTGCAAAACCACCGACAGTCCCAAGAATTCGTTTCAGTGGTATAGCAGCTGCATCTACGATGATATCCACTTGACTGGTGATTGATTCTTCACCCAGTCGAAACAATTCACTGATATTTGCTTTTGGTATTGTTGGTCCATTCTTTGAAGTAACGCATCTAAAGTATTCATTACCTTCTGATTACATCTGCAAACTCGACATGCTTAGTCACCTTATAAGGAATTACGATTGTTAATGGAGTAAGCATCTCCGGGGCTTTTCATTTTTGGAAATAGCAGAAACGTGCTAAATTATTCAGAATCCTTTCACATGGAATTATTCAGAAGGCTTTGAAAGCAGTGAAACGAAACTTACGAATCAAGATTTTCTTCGAAACAAACAAGAATTCTTTCGAGCAGAGCATCCTTTCGAGCAAAACAGTCTTTCAGATAGTCCGGATGCTTTGTTATCTGAAATTTTCTGCCGGATTAGACAAGAAATGAAGCTTCCGTTACCTATTATGTAATATGGCCTATGGTTGTAGGATAACCGCCTCGGGACAATTGGCGTCGAAGACAACTACTCCTGGATAATTGCCATTGGCCTCTTTACGCTTAGCTGTAGCCATACCTGAGGTTCGGCCACGGCCTCGAGATAAATTTCAGCTTAAACCTAAGTGTCAGCCATAGCCTAAGCACCAACCTCAATCCAAGCCTGTGCACCATTTTCTATTTGAAGAAAAAAACATCTTAAAATGATTCGTTTAATTGGCATCACGCTATTCCAGCCTATCAGTTTTGTGTATACAAACATATTGTGTCATTGAAAGTCCTCTTTTTGTGTATACAATTATATTAACCTCAGTCTGAGCCTAATTCGAAGTATAAGAATATTTATAATAATATAATAGTAATAATGATTGTATTATTGATAGTAATGATCGAAGAAACTCATGTTTACGATAATGAATGTGATGGAGGTAGGCTGTGGGTAACGGCAGTTGTCCGCCAGGCATTTACCCGAGAAGGGCACTTATCTGGGGAAGGGGGAAGCAGTTGTCGTCGAGTATTATGGTTCGGGGTGATTGTCTAGGTTAATTGTCTCGGGTTAACTGTCCGGATATATACATATGACCGGCATGAGCACTCATGAAAATAACAGCTTTGGATAAGAGCTATCCACGGCCGGCTTTTTTCGTGTTACCGTGTCATGATAAGAGGTGACCGTCTGAAAAGATAGTCACTTCTCACGAACCTCNCACGAGCACTGTCGTACATCACGACCAGCAATTTTTGACTCATTCAGCACTCGTTTACTCTGCTTAACAACCTACAACTTGGCTTCCTTGGATAAAATTACATCACAATTTGAATATTATGAATTTGAAAGTCCTCTTTATGTGTTGTATACGTTTACATTTATGATCGTATAGTGCAGCTGCTAACATTTCGCATTTTGTTTTTACTGACTGAATAATAATCACTGAATGATAAAACAGATTGGCTAAAAAACACCATCGGCGATCGGCAGCCAACACTGGTTGGAAAACTTTAAAGCACTGCACGATAATTTCAGAAATGTCATTAGTCTCAGTGAATATTTGAATCAATGAAATAGATGAATGTCAGTTTTCAGAGTGACTTCTTGAACTGCATCATTAACAAANTCCGTACCACATTCGTGTTGTTCACTGCACGAGCACTGTCGTACATCACGACCAGCAATTTTTGACTCATTCAGC